CCAGAGAATCCTAGGATAAATCCCATCCGGCCCAGGGGACTTATCTACTTTCACACCTTCCAGAATTGCTAACACCTCCTCCTTATGAACCTCAATCCCGTCTAGTCTAATAGACCGTATCTCAGTATTCTCCTCGACTACATTGTCTTTTTCCTGTGTGAATACTGACGAAAAATATTCATTTAGCACCTCTCCTATCTCTTTGGACTCCACGCACAACTTCCCACTACTGTCCTTGGCCGGCCCCAATCTTACTCTAGTCATTCTTTTATTCCTGACATACCTATAGAAAGCTTTAGGGTTTTCCTTGATCCTACCTGCTAAAGACTTCTCATGTCCCCTCCTGGCTCTTCTTAGCTCTCTCTTTAGGTCCTTCCTGGCTAACTTGTAACTCTCAAGCGCCCTCACTGAGCCTTCACGCCTCATCTCTACACAAGCCTCCTTCTTCCTCTTGACAAGAGATTCAACTTCTTTAGTAAACCATGGTTCCCTCGCTCGACCACTTCCTCCCTGCCTGACAGGTACATACTTCTCAAGGATACGCAGTAGCTGTTCCTTGAACAAGCTCCACATTTCAATTGTGCCCAGCCCCTGCAGTTTCCTTCTCCATCCTATGCATCCTAAATCTTGCCTCATCACCTCATAATTGCCCTTTTCATCCACCAGCAACTGAAAAGGAAACTGCAGGACGATAAGGCGCGGACAAATTATAAGAGGGTATGATTTTGGCAGATCACCACTACATACAGGAGCACTACTCTGTATCTAACCCTGTGCGTCCCTGTCCTGGGAGTGTTTGACGGGGACAGTGTAGAGGGAGCTTTACTCTGTATCTAACCATGTGCTGTCCCTGTCCTGGGAGTGTTTGATGGGGACAGTGTAGAGGGAATTTTACTCTGTATCTAACCCTGTGCTGTCCCTGTCCTGGGAGTGTTTGATGGGGACAGTTTAGAGGGAGTTTTACTCTATATTTAACCCTGTGCTGTACCTATCCAGGGAATGTTTGATGGGGACACTGTAGGGCTTTACTTTCTGCTTAAAAGATTATAGAAGTCTGCTCTGTATTTAACTGTACCTGTCTCAGGAGTGTTTGATGGGTACAGTGTAGAAGTAGCCTTACTTTCAGTTTAAAACAGCAGAGGAAGTTTTACTCTGTATCTAACCTTGTGTTGTACCTGTCCTATGAGCGTTCAACAAGGACAGTGTAGAGGTAGCTTTATGCTGTATCTAATCCCATGCTATATTTGAGACGGAATTCTAAATAAAGAAATCGCTTCATGCCGTAGCACCTGGTGACCACCAATCCCATAATAAAGAATTCACCTGAAGTATTGTGTTGCAGTGGAAGGAACAACCTCCCAGGCTCTCGGGGTTTGCACTGGGGCATGTGTAAGTTTTGTGATGCTAATTGATGGAGACTGAAACCTTGGCCTCTCCTCACTGTAGTGATCAATACAAATTCAAACTGCTGCTGTGTGCAAGAGACAGACTAAATGGAAAACTCAGGCATCAGCTCTCCATGTGAGGGATGTGCTGGATTAACATATTACCCAGAGATTCAGGAACATTGTTGATATGAGGGCCCACAATCCAGGGTCTGTTAGGATTCAGGTGCTTGTTCCCAAGGACCTGGTTTTGCAGAAGTGGAGATTCAGTTTAGAGAAGCTCCACTATACTCATCCACGGACAAATGTAAGGAGCTGGGGATGGGTTGAGAGTGATAACAGTAAGGATTGGTAACAATTGTGGTGTGGTCATCCAAACTGTTGCTATTAAATACGGTGATGATGCTAACTGCTAGCAGAGTGCTCCCTGAAGGGCTCTGTCTGTCTGCCTGCACATATTCCAGGAAGAAATTCAGGTATCTTGTCCATAATTCTTTCTCTTTATTGGCTGGAAGTACGTATGTTATGTCAGGTAAAACATCAAGGCAACTGGGATAATGTACGTAGTCGGAAGAGGCAGTCATAGAGGACTTGTTAAGTAGAGAGTGCTCACAGAAGGAAGGGGCTGTGTTCAACAATTCGCCGAAGGGAATTACTGCACAATGCTTCTGAACAGTTTTTCGACCAGGACTGGGGGGTTGACCAGGCTGTTGCAAATGGGTCTTAGTCTGCTGAACTGTTCCTCATCGTATTCAGGATTTTGGCCATAGTTTGAACAGTTTCTGTCCTTTGCCCCATCGGGGATGAACTCGATGAACTCTGGAGTGGTGGAGATAACACATGGCTCTCTCAGTCTCAGCTGCTGTGCTGTAGCAGGTCTACCAATTGGCCTGTTACTGTTTGAGCCCTGAAGGTTTACCTTCCCATCTACCACCTGCCCCAGGGTCCTCAGCTCCTCCTCATTTCCAGGAATTTTCTGCAGGATTCTCCTCATGTTGTACCTGGCGGGAATAAGCTTTTTTCCAAAACTGCCACTTCGGAACACCAAAGGTCTCAGTGCCTCTCTCATAAATGGTCTGTGTGTCTCCGGCTCCACGTCCATGTCGAGCAATTGGAAGATTGGCCTGAGCTGCTTCTTGGGGAATTGGCTCGGCTTCAATCTTTGCACGGAAGTGACATTCCCAAACTGATCAAAGGTCACGCTGTTGTTTAACGGTAGTCGGCTATTCTGGATTTTGAGAACATTCTGGAAATAGGACGTCATTCTGTAAATCTCACAGGGAGGTGGAGGGGGATCTTCGATACAGGGTGGTGAGTGGTATTGTTGGAACAACTCCTTTTCTGTCTCAGCCAAAGGCTTGGTAATGTCCTTCAGCTTGGCAGAATTGAGAGCTCCCTGATGGGGCTTATATTTTTGTCTTTTCTTCGGAACTTTGGGCTGTGTTTGTGGTTCATCTGGTATCACAGGTTCCTCTGGTTTTACAGCTTCAATAACTTTGTCAGGTTTCTGATGGGAAAACACAAGGACAAAACGGTTATCAGAAGAGGACAAGGTTACTTTTATTTTAATAATAACCAACTACACTATCTAGGGATAGTAGCCAATTTTGAACACCATGTTGCAGGAAGGATATGAAGGCACAGTAGCAGTGTCCCTACCCCTGAACCAGGAGGGCCCGAGTTCAAGTCCCACCTACTCCAGAGATGTATAATAACACATTCTGAACAGGTTGATTAGAAAAATTGGTTCAAAATAACGAGAGGGCATGAGGAATAAGTGATTTAGAGGAGATCTAAGAAAGCATTGTTTTCACCCAGAGGGTGGTAGAAGTATGGATCTTGCTGCCTGAGAGGGTGACAGAGGCACCTACACTTGCAACGTTTAAGAACCACCTGCATGAGCACTTAAAATGTTGGGGCATAGTCGGCTATAGACCAAGGGCAGGTAAATGGGATTAGAATAGTACCGTATCCTTTCCTTTTTCTGTATTTTTAATGGTGGACTGAAATAGGAAAAGAATTGTTTGAAAAATCAGAGATTATTGAGGGATTGCTGCACTTTGTTGAAAGCAAGTAACCTGACCATGACCAAGTGATGTTTACATAGCTGCTAGTTCAAGCAGTAGTCAAGGATTCACAAACAAATTGGAGTCAAGGGATGTGTACAAATGCTGCCAACAGCTGATTGGTCTGTATGCTAGTGAACAGTGCCAATGGCAAAGGTATTCTGCCTGCCTGATCGCTTCCCAGGGAGGTCAACAGCTTGAAGCTCTGAATGGGTTAGGGAGAAGCCATCAGATCTCCACAAGCTCAGGAACTCTCTCTGTTCTCTGCAGTAAAAGAAAACACTCTCAGCCTGAAGAAAAGCAGTTAATAGTTTGTTTCAGCAGCTACTGTGCTTTTAATCAAACTTTTAATAAGTCAGAGACTTTTAAAAATGTGAACCAGTCACCCTGTGCCTCCTGAACACAAGTGCTCGTAACTTTTAAAGTGCTTGAGGCCCACCTTTAGAATTAATGTTTCTTTTTGTGCACCACTAATAGATTTTTGTTTGTATGTTTGGAGATTGTTTTGCAACTCTGCAAGGTTCAGGAATTTTATTTTAAGCTGAAAAGCACCACCCACAGGTTAGAGAAGGAGATTTTGTAAAGTTTTATTTTGGGTTTTGAGCAGTTCTATGAAAGTCTTGGCTGAAGATTGGTCTAGCTCTTCCTTAGATTTATTCAATGTCCTGACATTCACCACACTCTGGGGTAGATAATTTCACAGATTCGCGACCTTTTTAGAGACATTATTCTTCCTCACCTTTGTTTTCAATGGAAGAAGTAAGGAAATGGTTCAGAGGAGTTTTCTAAATTGATTCTCAGAATGAGTGGGTTGTCTGATGAGGAAAGATTGTTCTTGTTTGCACTGGATTTTAGAAGAATGAGGGGTGACTTGATTGAACACAGTGGACGTGCAAAGGGTTTTTCCTGTTATGGGTCAGTCCAGAAATAGGCCATAAAATGAGGAGAGTGCTTTTTTTCTCTGAGTGAGTTGTGCAATGTTGGAAGTCTGCCTCAGAAGGTTGTGAAGCTGGGGACATTGAATAGTTTTTAGATTGAGGTAGATAAATTCTTGTTATGCCGGGGTATGAAGGGTTATCAGAGGTAGACAGAAAAGTGGAATTTGAAACTCAAACAGACAGCAATGACTGTATTGACTGGTGCAAGTTTGAGGTGCTGATTTGGATGAACACAGCAGGCCAAGCAGCATCATAGGAGCGTTTCGGGCCTAGACCCTTCATCAGAAATGGGGGAGGGGAAGGGGGTTCTGAAATAAATAGGGAGAGAGGGGGAGGCGGATAGAGGAGAAGATAGGTGGAGAGGAAACAGACAGGTCAAAGAGGCGGGGATGGAGCCAGTAAAGGTGAGTGTAGGTGGGGAGTTAGGGAGGGGATAGGTC